GAAGAATACATACATTACACATTAAGAATACATTCCCACATAGAATAGCTATAGGCCACCCTCGATCGGACCTCTGGTGAGAGCTTAATCTTGATCGTCATCTAGCCCAGTAGTTAAGAATCGATTCGAGGGCTAAACTGAGAAGTTTCATATTTAGACACCAGCTTGGTCTTCGCTGAGCAAGCTTTTGTCCTAAACCACAACTAACTGCCCTTTTATCTATTTATTTCATCTAGCCCACCACCCTACACAGAAGAAAGTAGTATAGCAGCTAATGTTCTTTTGTCACTATCATTAGAGTTTGTTTATTGTTTTTGTCCTTGTCCTGGTGGTGGGACTATTGGATTTGTACCAGCCATATGTTCAGCAATTCTTTTAACAATTTGAACAAGTTGTGCTAATTGTTGTCTAAATAATTGTTCTTGGTCAGCTTCGGAATGACCATCTAATGGTTCCCATCGTATCTGATATTCTAATTCAATTTGTTTTGGATCATCTTTAGCACGACGTACCCAATTAATAACCTGTCCTTTATATTTTGGATGTTGCTCCAAGAGAACGTCCATTAAAGACTGTTGCTTAAGAAAAGGGGGAAGGGTGAGGAAGGAGTCGACCCTAGACGGATTGGATAAGAGAGTTGAAACAAAGCTCTGGAAACTGTTTTGTTTTTACCAAAGAGCTGTTTAGACTTTGAATCAATTTAAAAGGACTGGTTTCGTCGTATAGAAACCTTTGATATATTTCTCACGGAGTCATGATCCTCCGTCGGAGAGTTATGACTATATATGTTTTGTTGAAAATTTAATTATCGACAAAACAAGAACAAGATATAATTTGTCTGGTCAGCCAACACGATCGCCCAAAAATGCAACTTACTGAAAATGAACACCAAAAACGCGTATACCAGCAGACATTGCTTCACTTTTTCTCTGAACGTTTTATACCCCATTCCATGCACTAATCTCAGCTGTATTCAGAAATGAAAATATTTTTAGCTAAGAATTGTGTATGGTGACAAACAAGTCAGAATACAAGAAACATTTACCATTTACACATGCGTGCTTTTTCAAATAAAATCGTTTCTTTCGATAGCAAAAGTGATTTTAACTCAGTTCAAACAATTTTCTCGATCGTTAATTGCTCCTCTATCTAACGCTAGTTGAATGGAAAAATAAGACACAGTCGTAGTTGTCATAATACAAATACCAATCATATTACTGTGTCGTATTTATTTTCTTGTTGAGCTCCTTTCTATGTTGGTTACCAGATTATCTCTACCTAATAAAAGCCTCTACTGGCGATAAACCTAACT